GTCCCATTTAAAATGGATTTTTACAACTGTTTGTGACAAGTGACAATCAGATCTTTCCAAACTTCTTTCTTTGCTTTTCTTCAGGATTTCTATTTTTTGACATGTTCCATTAATGAAATTTTGGACGTTCCTATCAAATATAATTACAATTTTCATTGTTATCATTATCATAATTATTGCTGTGAGGTTGTTGTGATAATTCTTGTCAGGATAGCTGTGATTGATTTAATCGTACTGTTGTGAATATTGTAATTAAATTAATTTAGATACTCGTTCATTTGGTTTCATTTTTTATTGTTTGCCGCCATTCTAATCTATAAGTTAAATAATCAAACGTTTCAAATTATAAATCGCATTGCTTCAGATGTTATCTTAAATTCATCTTAGCACTTTCTTATTGTCATTATTATCAACACAAGTTTAATGTTTATTTATGCTTACCATTTTATCATTATCATCACTCCAACCACTGTCATGCATATCACTTTTGTATCGTTACTTTCCTGATTGTTATCATGATAATTATTGTCAAACGTTCCCATCATTTCCGTCATCATCATCATTGTCACACCTGTTAGCTATAAGGATAAGACTTTAAATTCTTTTCGCTTTTTCGAGAAACTTTTTTTTTCATTATTCAGAATCATTGTACCGTAAAATTTATTTAAGAAACATATTAATATCGTATTTTTCAAGGATTGTAATTAACACAAGCATCATTAAACTGTAATACTTATGTTTCAATCATCTTCCAACCAATGTTATAAGTAATAACTTTAAAACATTATCTGAAACATTTTAACAATAAATGTTTAGAATGAAAGGGTAGAAGATGCTCGAAAGGCTTAATTAATCATTTAATTAATAAATTTTAATTTAAAATTTTTCATCTAAAAATATTGCAAAATTAGGCATTGCTGATGACGTAGACGTGTAATGAACACGTGATGCGTAATTTACTTCTTCGCTGTTCATCATTTTCAGAATGATTGCTTTCACTTTTTTTTTCATTTTAAATTTCAATAAAAAGTAAAAGAAGACAGTTAGAATATATTCTAAGTAAGCAATTATTTTTAGCTATAGTTATGAGTATATGAAAAGCACATTGAACTATGAAATTTTGGGAGAAAAAAGAATGGAAAAGAATTGCACAATTGTAGAATTAATTAAAAATATTTCAAAAGGATTCCGTTACCGTACAGTGAAAATGATAAGAAACTTGGAATGATGAAAATTCAGCAGTTCTTCAAACTACATTGCAATTAATTATCCTAATTAACTGCAATTAATAGCATTTCATAAAAAAAAAAAGGATTGTTTTCTATTTGTACTATATTGTTTGCATATTCAAGCAGAAAATATGAAATGAGGAAAAAACTATAGTAATTGTTGTAAATTCAAAGTTAACTTTTTAAGAAATTTCAAACTCAAAAAACGAAAAATGAAATTAAGAAATTACCTAAAAGTAAATATGCAATAAAAAAAAACAAAGTAGGAGAATTGTTTGTAGGGAATGAAATAATCGTTCAATTTCAATTATTTCATTTCTTTTAAAAAATAATAAGTAATTTGTATTCTAATCCTAATTATTCCAATTCTAATTAATCATTCTTGTTATTCTAACTTCTCTAATTACTCTGATACTATTTTTTCTAATTATTCTAATAAGATATTTGTTATATACTATTGTAAGAGCAAAAATCAAACTAAGCTAATGAAGTTTGAGTCATCAAATGAAATCTTTATGTATTAACGAAGAAGTTACACAAATGACAATTGAATTGATTTTTATTATGAGTGAGGCGAAGAGGAAATTTTGAATGAAAAGGTAGATGAGAGAGGAAAGTTTTTTTTTCTCTCTCTCTCTCTCTCTCTCTCTCTCTCTCCTCTCTCTCTCTCT